ACAACGAGGAGAAGAGAAGGAGAGGAGGAGGAGAGTCCCCGCCCGGCACTGGAAAAAAGAGGTAAAAAGAGCCCGGCGGGAGGGGGGCCCTGAAGGTGGGGGCCCCCCTCAGGGTACTATAGTGGTCCTTTCCCTGGCACTATAGTGGCCCTTTAATGGAAAAGCATAGCTGCTTTGGGAATTTTTCTGGAGGTGTTACATAAGTGTAATAGAATCACATTGGGAGAAGTGGAACCTGAGGTAAGTGGTGGTAGGTTTCCTTTAAATTATGCAGCATCACATCATACATAAACACAAACTCGAATCCCCATTAGATACACAGCTTACACTCTCTGTTATAAGCAAAACCTGCATGAGAACTTTTATACAAATTATTGAGATAATTATTACATTGAATTGTAGGAAAAAAATTGTTGGAACTCACTTGGAATGTACTTGCCAGGGTAAAAGTAAACATTTTAGAAATACACATATTATTTAAATTATAACTGGTGTTATTATACTATTCAAAAGGGACCACAGAGGCAGACACAATGAAGAAAAAAAATGAAATAATAAAAATATTAGTCTTCCTTTTGACACAATTACTGAAGATATCCAACACCCCTTTACCCCCAGAAAAAAAGAATAATTTGCACACTAAATAAGGATAAAAACCATACTATAATAATATATCTTACTCAGCAGCTATTTTTTATAATATCAGATACAGTATATACTTTCCAGATAAGACTGGTGAGCTGCCTGTTCTTAGCACATATTACATTCCACAGTCCTAAAAGATATCAAGTGGACTACATGTTTGTTCAGCAACTGATATATTGTTTCATTTGTTAGTTTTTCAATGGCCAAAGTGAGCATTAATATTTGAAAATGCAAAAAACTAATTTGAATGCTAATTTTGGCCAGTGTTTGTGACTAAGTGACTACTAAAAAAAGACTGAACATATCCCATTTGCAATACCCTGGGTTGTCTACTATTGCAAATGGGGAATATACCATCATGGGGGTAATTTTCATTCCTGGACTACCGTACGGTCTCAACATAACCAACCTGGCGAATTTTAATGTGAAAAAACTGAAACGCAAGCATTATATTTGACTCTGTAACTTTTGAAAAC